TTTATCACTACCTCCAACTACATGGCTTAGAACATCCTCTTTATCTTAGGACCACTCTAAACGGTTCGACTGTCTCGGTTCGGTTTGCGTGTGTTGCGCTCGGTTCATGCGCTGCTCCTTTTTCTCATAGGCGAAGCGTTCACACTCCAGAGCAGAAGGTGGCGGTACTGCGACCAAAGCCAATCACCAGTAGTAAACAAGAAGAAGAAGAAGCGAAGCAGCGTAGCCGGGTGTAGCTGAGAAAAACAGAATCTTGTGTGTATGGCGAGTGGGAAAGAAAAGGAGTTGGAAGACACGCCAGCAGCACTTTATAGGCCTGCTGTATGGGACCACTGTGCATTTAGAGTGACCTACGATGACGGCGGAAAGAAAATTGTGGATAAAAGTGCAACAGTGTGCAAGCATTGTGCAACACGTTTTGTTTATGCTAACAGCAACATGATCAACATGTCAGGCTAACAAGCAACATATATACCGAACCGAAAACCATGACCACGAAACAGTGAACCGAACCGTGGATTTTGTGAACCGTTCCACCCCTAGTGCATTTATCTAATTGCAGGATGTTTGCACCCCTCAGACACAGCACACCACAACCACAACATGTAGTCATGTTTAAAAGTGCTTCAAAAGATTTTTACAGCAATGCTTTTACTGATCACTTAGACACTTATTTCAGAGATTATTTCCACAATTATTCCTAAAATCAACCATCATCTTAAAGAGCATGCTGTAAACCCAGTGGACACTTGGTTTAGTTAATAACACTGAGACATAAATCATGTTATTTAGGGCCCATAACTTCAATTATAAATGACTGAAAAAGTGCTGTATTGTTAACCCTGCAGCTGTGACTGGCAATAAAAATCACAAGCTGGGGTCGAGCTCTGTGGTCCAAACGGGAAAGTTTCTGCTGCCTCAGGTTATATCTTAAAAGGTCATAAATACATGAAAAAGAGCCATTCATATCACAATTCTTTAACTATCTAAATTCTCAGTCACTAAATCAACATTTAACTGCATTAAAATCTAAATATCAATTTCCAGCATGTTTGTTAACAATCCAAACACATAATCACGCAGCAACATTAGCAGAGCTGCTGAGGTAAGAGAAATCAGGAGAAAACGGGGCTTCAATGGCCCACACCCAATTATTATCACACAGCCTAATGATGGAGCCCTACGGACCTAATTACATCCCAGCTGCAGAGCCTGAGTGAGTGAGATGTTGAGAATTTCACACTAAAGGGGGGGGGGGGATGATTGGACATTGAACAGCCTGTTGAAATATGATTATTCCCACAAGTTTTCCAGAGAAACATGAATAAGTCCTAAGTGATGAGTTCCGATTGAGCAATTAACCAGCTTTTTTCTTTTCTTTTTTTCACTCGAATGCAGCGTGAACTGTGGGAAAACTTCTCTCAGCTCTTGAAAACAACATCGGAAATTGATCAATGTCTTGCTCAAGGACACAGTGGCATGTACAAATCCAGGAGGGACAAGATATAGGCAATATCGAGTCAACTGACAACCAAGGAGGTGCTTAGTGTTGCTAAGAAAAAACTACTGTAAGCTGACATTTAAACTGAAATAAACATGTGCATCAGCTGTTGGACTGCCAACAACTGAAGTCATCAGCATGTAGAAAAAACCCAAATATATGATAAACCTGCACTGAAAAAAGTAGATCTACTTAAAATAAGTGCATTTGTTCTTGGATTGAGGAGGTAAAAGAGACATTTTGCCAATGGAACAAGACAATTTACAATTAAAATAAGAAAACACAATTGCATTGTTTTATTTCAAGTGCATTTTATCTAATTATCTGTTTTTAAGAGTAAAAATGCTGATTCTTTTGGCAAACCATCTCATTTACCTACTCAAATTAAGGACAAATACAGTTAATTTAAGAAATTTTTACTTGTTTCTAGGTTGTTTTTGCAGTGTGAGTAAAAATAGGAGACTAAATTATAATATTAACACAAATATTAAAACAAATGTGCATAACAGGATCCATCATTATCAAATGTTCATTTGTTATATTGTCAATTATGCCTAGTAAAATATAAAGCATTAACTTAAACAATAACTAAGCAATAAGTCAAATAGTAGTTTTTATTTGAGTATAATAGTTTATACAAAAAACACAACTGTAGAGGAGTGCATGGATGAATGTTTGCCAGAATATGGATCAGTTAGCAGGCATAAAAGCTCTGTATACCCATATTATATTTGTTTTTTTCCTAGCTAGAGGCCAGCTTCCCTAAAATGCCAAAATTAAAGCAATGTTTTGCTGATCAAGATGCAGTAGTGGGTAGAACCAGATGAAGAAAAAGTAAGAGAGGAGTCAAGTAACTAAGGAAACAGATTTCGATATAGTAATGTGATAGTTTTTCTCTGTATCTGTAATTTATATCCATACATTATAGTTTTTACTTTCTCTAAAGTGGCTCCTTATCTCTATACACACTGAATAATGGTATGAGGCAACAGCTACAAAAAAAAAAAAAAAAAAAAAAAAAAAAAAAAAAAAAAAAAAAAAAAAAAAAAAGACAGAACTCCAAAGTAAAAGGAGGATCTGTTTAGTTATTAGTTAATAGAAAAACACTGATGCAAACACGGATGAAGACGGGAGGGCTGGGAAACATTACTGATAATGGATCAGATTCTGAGATGCAAAGCAATCCCCCCATCCATTCCACCTTCATTCAGTTCAATTCAGTTTATTTATATAGCACCAATTCTTCATCTCAGGGCACTTTACAATTCAACCAGATTATACAGTCCAATTAACTCAAAAGTTTCAAAGGAAAACCAACTGATTGCATCGACTCGAAGGCAATCCTTTACACTAAGCATGCTTGTGGCGATAGTGGAGAGGAAAAACTCCCTTTTAACAGGAAGAAACCTCCAGCAGAACCAGGCTCAGTGTGAGCGGCCATCTGCTGAGGCTGATGGGATAAAGGAGACAGAAGCAAAGATACAAATGAACTTGTCAACCAGCTCCACTTTCTTCATTAGATTTTACATTTTTAAGCTCCATTTCAATTTTTTTTGCAACTTTATGTTGTGAATATAAGACCTCTAAAAGTAGTCAACTGCTCCCGGACTTCTGTTTAGTCTTTTAATTCTGAACAAAACTAGACCAACTCAATAAAAATTCTTTACAAACACTGTGAGCAACAGAGGAAATATAGGGGTTTTTTTTTAGCACTGTTTTATAAAAATAAGTTTTAAAAAGTTATTTTTTTGAAGACAAGAAACTATTTTAATTTGCGTCCTTAGGTATATGTAAAGTATGATATGTAATACTTAGGAAGTTCAATCAGTAATTTTATTTTTACAAAAGTCGTTTTACAGGTGTCTGTATTTGGACCGAGACAATAAAGGCGGACAATTTTAATAAGGTTTTCCAAATCAGAATCAGAAATACTTTAATAATCCCAGAGGGAAATTACTTTTGTTACACGATCCAGTTACAGTTTTATATAATATATACACACATCCAACTATACAATATAATAAAGATAAAAAATAAGAATAAAAAGAGATTAAATATATACACATATAGCTGTTCTGTATATATATCTGTACGTATATCTATGCATATGTAAAAACTATATTCTAATATCACAGCCATAACCGTAACAAGCTATCTGTTGCAAATTTTTACATATTTTTTGCAAAAAAGATTTTATTGCTCTGCTGTTTTATTCTTCATGTATTAATAATAATACATAAAAAAAAAAAAATCAAACAGATAAACTGGCGAAGACTGTCATCCAGGTCATTGTCATTCCAAAAAAGTTTTAAAAAAGTTAAAAAACAATCCACTGGAATTTGTTTTCCAAGTTTGAAGACGTTTCGATTCCCATCCAGGAAGCCGTCTCAATTCAAAAAACAGAAGTCAGGCTGTGTGCTTGTGTAGCCACTCTGCTGTTGGCTGCTTAACAAACCAACTCTTGGCGTCAAACATTACCGTACTGGTAAAAGGTGATGCTTCATTTGTTTTCACACCTTACAGTCGTGTTTCTCAAACTTTTTTTTACTTGTTAACCTATTTGGGCATTTTGTTTTAACACGAGTTCCCCTCAAAGTATTAATGATTGTCCAAAAGTGGAACGTACAATAACTGATTATAAAATAAAAACTTTTTTATTTTACTCATCTTCCATCTCAAAAAAACAAAACAAAATCAAAAAATGTCGCCTGGAGGCTGGTAAGGAATCGAAATGAATACAAAATAAAATCATATTGCAAACCTGTATTTATAAAACTAGAGTTCCTTTGAGTAACTTAATTATAATCACATTTACATTGATGAATTGGGAACAAAATCTATAGTCAGACTTTATTAGTTTGATTTTGTTTTCATAAAAACACGTCAGCTGCTTTAATGAGCTCCGATAGCCCAGTGTGAAAAACAGCAGATATGAGGCTTTTCTTTACTTGTTCCTCTGCTTGGTTTGGATGTGTGTCAAAGCTGAAGGTGAACTCAAACAAAAGCGAACTTTTCAGTTGGGTCCAGACAAAACAAAACAGATTCTGTTCCAGATATTTTACTACCTAAGAAATAATATATTTTCTTGTACCCCTTGCAGTGCCCTTGCTGAGCGCTAGGAATCTGCGTACGGTTGAGAATCCCTGCCCTATTGTACCACAAATATTTTCAAACTGATTAACAACATGTGAGGGAGATGGAAATGCTGCATTATTTTATGCTTCACAAAGAGAAAACTGATTACAACAATCTCCGTGCTACCCCTTCAAAGACAGCAGGAGGTTTGATGTTTGATGGAAAACCTTATGCAATCAAGACAGCCATTGTCTAACTGTAATGTTACAGTCGGAGGTCATCAGATACTGATCAAATATTCAAATTCAAATGAACCTGTCCTAGATCAGCGCTAATCTGATAGACTTCTGACCTACTTAAGTGGCCAAAGGAAACAAATATTGCAAATGGAGACAAGCCAAGACCAACGTGGAGTCGGACTTACATCTTGATGTTCTCATGGTACTGTTTGGTGTCGGATGGCTGGTTGTACAGAGGCTGGGATGATAGAACAGAACAAACATTCAGCAGATTACAAAATGACCAAACATTAAAACCCTAGATTATCGACTTAAACTTTTCACTCCATATATTTAAAAGTGTTATCACCATTGAGTAGCGAGGAAGGACTCTGGAGCTAATAAAATTAAATCACTGGATCCATTTCAATCTGATGTTACACTGAATATAAAGCTTTACAGATTTACTTCTTTATGTTTAAAAATGTAAGGAGACGAGAGACAAAAAGTGGACATCAAATAAAAACTCACCAGTTCCACTCTGGGTCCCAGCCCCTCCAGTACCCTGTGAGCCTCTTCTGCCTTTTTCTGATGAGAAAAAGACAAACAGAAGTAGTACATTAGCAAGCCGCCGTCACCACGGCAACGCCGGGAACATGCTCACTAGATCACCAAAGCGAGGCACCAATTGCTACGAAGGTGGACGGACTGGATAGATGGAGAGCTGGACCCGCTGCCTATTATTAGAGCTTTTAACTCCAGCATGGCCTCAGCGCTCTCTCTCCAGAGAAAAAAAAAAAAAAAGAGATTACTCACCTCCTCTGAGAAGAAAAAGGTTGGAGAGAAAAAGCAGGGAGGCATGAAAGCAAGTGGGAGTATAGCAGAAAAAGTGGGAGAGGAAGAGGGGGGGAGCTGGAAAACAGAGATGTTTGACCATGAAGGCGACAGGAAAGAAAGTCCTCTGTGTTGAAAGCTGGGTCATCTCTGCAGCTTCGCTCCTTCTTGCATAAATATTTAGCTCCACCAGACAAATGTGTATACAGCTTTCCAAACCATTCCTAAATATTCCCACTCTACTCTTCTCCTTCAGTCACCGCGTACAGATGTCATCGTAGTGAAACCCTAAAGGCCATAACTGTGACAGACTACTCTGGGTCTTATTAAAGCATCTGCCTTTATTTTTCACAAGACTATTTGGTCTAATGCTGCGTTTTTAAAGCAGAAAACAGATTTACTCAAAAAATCTGAAAAACATTAATGGCAAGGAATAGGGCTGGGTATTTTCGCCCAAGTCCTGAATCGATTCGATTTTGATTCATACAGTTCTAAATCGATTCATTTTGATTCGATCGGTTTTTACAATAAGAAAGTGGTTCAACTGTGTTTCAAAATACTCATGTATTTTATTTTTTCCTGTCATATTAATCACAAGGTGCAAACTTGTAAATCAGACAGTTTAAACCTGAGATGTGAACAAAACTGTCTCAAAAGTGCAAACTTGTTTGTGAAAAGTGAAAAAGTGACGCCTCACTCGAGCGAGCAGACGTGACACAGCGGGAAAAGAGCAGACATGCATGAGCTGCATTATCTTCAATGCACAAACCATATTTGCAGCGTTGTCTGTAACAACTACAGGGTGTTTGCTGGTCAGCCCCCATTTGTTAATGTCTTCAGTCAACCTGTTGGCTATATTTGCAGCTGTCTGGCTGCTCATTTAAATTAAAATGTGAAAGTCATGCGCGTCACTAAAAAAAACTAATCGATCTCATTCTCTAGACATCGATTTTACAAAAATGTACAGGAATCGATCCAAATTCGATTAAATCGATTTCTTTACCCAGCCCTAGCAAGGGATATCCTGAAAACATACTTTTGAGGTAAAAGGTATAACACCTTAAAGGAATAGTACACCCAAAACATGATTAGCCTTCATTTTCTACTCCCCCCCATGCTGAACAACACTCTGGAGTACTTTTTTGATATCTCAAATGCATCTGGAGATCTGGGAGGCTTCTTGCTGTCTGCTGACATTCAAATAATGGAGGTCTATGGTGCCTGAGACAGAAAGGTCCATAAAAGTCCACAAAAACGGTGTCAATATTCCTCCATACTGCTCGTCCAATGTATTCCAAGTGTCCTGAGTGGGTAGCATCCAGAATTTACTCGAAACGAAGTCATTTAGAATGTTTTTAGAGCATAAACAGTAGTGTATAGGATTTCCTGAAAGCGCGCACCGGCGCGTTCACGACGCTACGGAAGCCGGCAGACCAAACCAGCGCATTCAGCTCGGCAAAGAACTCATGCTCTTCCTCAACACTGAAGTCCTCAGACATTTTTCTTTCGTTGTTTCTTTCTTTGCACAGGTAAACGGCACATTTCTTCTTCTACGCTTGCATTATTGGAAGAGCAGACGCTGAATGCGCACTTTCATCTGGTTTGGTCTGCCGGCTTCCGTAGCGTCGTGATCGCGCAGGTGCGCGCTTTCAGGAAATCCTATACACTACTGTTTATGCTCTAAAAACATTCTAAATGACTTCGTTTCGAGTAAATTCTGGATGCTACCCACTCAGGACACTTGGAATACATTGGACGAGCAGTATGGAGGAATATTGACACGTTTTTGTGGACTTTTATGGACCTTTCTGCCTCGGGCACCATAGACCTCCATTATTTGAATGTCAGCAGACAGCAAGAAGCCTCCCAGATCTCCAGATGCATTTGAGATATCAAAAAAGTACTCCAGAGTGTTGTTCAGCATGGGGGTGAGTAGAAAATGAAGGCTAATCATGTTTTGGGTGTACTATTCCTTTAACCTTTTTTGATTATTACTTCTAAATAGAAAACAAAATCTCCCACAACGTTTGCAAATCCTCTTCATGTTGTTCCACAGTGATAATCTTTTCTTTGCAGGAGTTTATCCTGTCGATAATGGTGGTTTTTAAGGCAGATTATGCTTCTGCAAACGCACACATCAAATGTTGCTTGGGTCTGGTCGCGAACCAGTTTTGCTGGTATTCTTCTGCACCGTCTGTCTGGAATTTCTAGGAATGCACAGCAGTGTCTTGTCAAAGCGCAAGGGAGGGGGGGGCTAATCGAGAACTCGTGAGAACCTCGGTGGATGGTCACAAGAACTTCGGCGGCGGGAGTGATTATTTTCAAAGGAATAATGACGCATCTGCAAGATACACTATATTGCCAAAAGTATTTGCTCACCCATCCAAATTATTGGAATCAGGTGTTCCAATCACTTCCATGGCCACAGGTGTATAAATTCAAGCACCTAGGCATGCAGACTGTTTTTACAAACATTTGTGAAAGAATGGGTCGCTCTCAGGAGCTCAGTGAATTCCAGCGTGGAACTGTGATAGGATGCCACCTGTGCAACAAATCCAGTCGTGAAATTTCCTCGCTCCTAAATATTCCACAGTCAACTGTCAGCTGTATTATAAGAAAATGGAAGTGTTTGGGAACGACAGCAACTCAGCCACGAAGTGGTAGGCCACGTAAACTGACGGAGCGGGGTCAGCGGATGCTGACGCGCATAGTGCGAAGAGGTCGCCAACTTTCTGCAGAGTCAATCACTACAGACCTCCAAACTTCATGTGGCCTTCAGATTAGCTCAAGAACAGTGCGCAGAGAGCTTCATGGAATGGGTTTCCATGGTCGAGCAGCTGCATCCAAGCCATACATCACCAAGTGCAATGCAAAGCGTCGGATGCGGTGGTGTAAAGCACGCCGCCACTGGACTCTAGAGCAGTGGAGACGCGTTCTCTGGAGTGACGAATCGCGCTTCTCCATCTGGCAATCTGATGGACGGGTCTGGGTTTGGCGGTTGCCAGGAGAACGGTACTTGTCTGACTGCATTGTGCCAAGTGTAAAGTTTGGTGGAGGGGGGATTATGGTGTGGGGTTGTTTTTCAGGAGCTGGGCTTGGCCCCTTAGTTCCAGTGAAAGGAACTCTGAATGCTTCAGCATCCCAAGACATTTTGGACAATTCCATGCTCCCAACTTTGTGGGAACAGTTTGGAGCTGGCCCCTTCCTCTTCCAACATGACTGTGCACCAGTGCACAAAGCAAGGTCCATAAAGACATGGATGACAGAGTCTGGTGTGGATGAACTTGACTGGCCTGCACAGAGTCCTGACCTCAACCCGATAGAACACCTTTGGGATGAATTAGAGCGGAGACTGAGAGCCAGGCCTTCTCGTCCAACATCAGTGTGCAACCTCACAAATGCGCTTCTGGAAGAATGGTCAAAAATTCCCATAAACACACTCCTAAACCTTGTGGACAGCCTTCCCAGAAGAGTTGAAGCTGTTCTAGCTGCAAAGGGTGGACCGACGTCATATTGAACCCTATGGATTAGGAACGGGATGTCACTTAAGCTCATATGTGAGTCAAGGCAGGTGAGCAAATACTTTTGGCAATATAGTGTATCACGGTAACGGAGATGGATCTAGAGTTGCTAGACAACGAAGAGGAACAGGTTCTGTTAATGGAGTTGGCAGAAAGACCGGTTAACCTTTCATCGTAGTTGTCCCTGAGTTTTTAAAAATGGCGCGCCCCGGCACCGAATCGAGAAGGACGACCACACAGACAGCTGGAAAGGCATACCAAGGACCAATCACAGCTGCTTTTTGTCTGCGCACTTCCGTTCGAGGTCTGCATGGGTTTGCGACTGTCCAATACGTAGTCAGGACTCTTTTTGAGGTGCGCGACGACGGTTGCAGAACCTCTGCTCGGAAGGCAGAGACAGATTTGACGGTTGCAGAGGCTAAGCGTCAGAAGCATAAATTGGCTTTTATGAGCTAAACAGGATCTCTAGATGTTTAGATAAACGCTTAATTTGGGTTTGTCGCCACAGAAACATAAAGGAGAGAGTTACAGATAATATACAGATCCAAACGTGGAATCTTTTCACACAAAGGTTACAGTGACGTCCTGCAACAATGGAGTCTGGACAAACAAGGTCTTAAAAAGTGAAACATTGGAAAAATAAAATTACAATATTACATGAAAATCATAATTCTGAAATCACTTGGCTCTGACTATGAGAATGGTCGCTTCTTCAAAAAAATATGGATGATAATTAGACAAACCCTCCGTCTAAAAAATAAATCTAAATTAGTCGATTAAAGGCAAATACTTTTGTTTTATTTTAAAGAGGCTAATTACATTTTTTCTTTCTTTCAAAGTGCATCTAACTTATTAGGACCACAAAAAACAAGATCTTTCTTAGGGCCAATAGGAGTCCAGAGGTAACACTGAGCATCTGTAGACTAAATACTCTGAAAGATGTTTTTTTTTTTATTTTAAGAAACACTTTAGTGCTGTGAAACAATGAAAACAGGGAGTTATATTAGCACCAAATCATCTACCTGTACCTCATTGACTATTAGCTCAGAAGTAGGTCAAACAGGAAGAAGAAAAAAACCTTTTAAATTATCGCTGCGTGCATCCTCTCTCAAAGAGAACAAAAAAGGAACCAAAGCTTTGCACAATGTACCTGTTGTACATAGCAATTAAATGCAAATGCATTTCCATGCTGCTTCCTCATCAGTGAGGAGGTGTAACAGGCTGCAGAGGATT